GATCGGACAATGGTCCAGCTTTTGTTCATCAGTGCCTACAACAATTGACTCATATGCTTGGTATAAAGTGGAGGCTTCATACGGCATATAGACCCCAGAGTTCTGGTAAGGTAGAGAGAATGAATAGAACTATTAAGAATCAGTTGGCTAAAATGTGTCAGGAAACCCAACTTAAGTGGAGCGTTCTCTTGCCCATAGCTCTATTGCGAATCCGTAGTACACCTACCAGAAGGATGGGCCTCTCTCCTTTTGAAATCATGTACGGGCGACCACCTCCCGTGCTTGGTAACTTAAGGGGGGATTTGAGTCAGTTGGGAGAAGGAATTACCCGGCAGCAGGTTGTAGAGTTGGGTAAGACTATGGAGGAGGTACAGAAATGGGTACAAGATAGATTACCTGTGAATATTTATCCCCCAATTCATAGTTACCACCCAGGCGACCAAGTGTGGATTAAAGAGTGGAATAATGTGCCGTTAGGGCCCAAGTGGAGAGGTCCTTATGTTGTTCTTCTGTCTACCCCTACAGCGATAAAAGTAGCCGAAGTGGCTCCGTGGATACATCACTCCAGGGTTAAACCAGCAGCAGCCGATTCCTGGCAAGTTACAGCAAATCCAGAGAATCCCTGCAAGATCCGGTTAAAACGCACGACTCAGTCGGAGTGACGAGGAACCTTGTAGATTACAAATTTTATTGTTTCAGAGACTTGGTAAGTGAGTGAGAAGGCCATAATAAAGCCTGTCCACTCACCAACGAGTGTATAAGTCAGGGAAAGTCTTGAGGGGACCCCTGTGAAGACGAGCAGAACTCCATTCCCTGCAGCCCTTACATCCTGGAAGCTGAGGTGCCTTCGCACGGACGAAGACTGAGGATGACGACGAAAGATGTATTTTTAATAATGTTTATTTATGTGTATTTTTATATTCAGGAAGGTAGAGGTACCGACACTCCTAGCTGTGAGGTATGCATTAAGACTACAAGAACAGGTAACCATATATCCCAGACCCTAATTTGGCATTCGCAATATGAGTGTAAAGGAGATGTATCAAGATGTAGATACTTAAATATAGAATATAGTGTGTGTCATTTAGGAGTAGGAGAACCTAAGTGCTTCAGTCCTGAGTATCAACCCCGTACAATTTGGTTGACTCTCAGAAATGGAGATCCTCAGGGGACCCTAATTAATAAGACGGTATTAGAATCCGTATATTCTTCAGGTGCTCTGCTATTTGATGCGTGTAAAGCAATATCAAGTGGTAGAAAGCCGTGGAATGTATGTGGGGATCTTAGATGGGAGAGGACGTATGGGTCTAACGATAAATATATTTGTCCCAGTAGTAAAAATAAATATGTAAGTCCAAGATGCCCAAATAGAGATTATAACTTCTGCCCATATTGGTCTTGTGTGGGGTGGGCGACTTGGGGACAGACAGCAGACAAGGACATGATTGTGACTAAGTTGCCTACTGATCCATATTGTAAGTCTATGGAATGCAATCCAATCCATATACTTATAAATAACCCTGACAAGTTCTTAGATAAATATGGTAATTTATTTGGGTTTCAAATATATGGGACGGGTTTAGACCCTGGGACAATATTGTTTATAGGGATAGAGACTGATACGGTAACCTCCCAAACTCATCAAGTATACCATTCCTTTTATGAAGAGATGAGCATAGATAATAAGATCCCCCATAATGCTAAAAACTTGTTCATTGATTTAGCCGAGAGTATTGCCGGTAGTCTTAATGTTACCAACTGCTATGTGTGTGGAGGTACTAACATGGGAGACCAATGGCCTTGGGAAGCAAAGGAGGTAATGTCCGGTTCTGAGGCAGTTGACCAATTAATATCTACACAAGCCGACTATCATATGAGTGTTAGAGGTAAATCTGAGTGGAGATTGAAGACCTCCATCATAGGTTATGTTTGCATAGCGAGGAAAGGAATGATGTATAATACTTCTGTAGGAGAATTAACTTGTCTAGGGCAAAAAGCTTATGATGATGATACAAAGAATACAACTTGGTGGTCGGCTTCAAATGTCTCAGAACCATCTAACCCGTTTGCAAGATATGCCAATTTAAAGGACGTATGGTTTGATCTATCCATCACATCTAACTGGAGAGCCCCAGCGAATTTGTACTGGATCTGTGGTAAGAAGGCCTATTCGGAGTTACCACAGGACTGGGAAGGGGCATGTGTGTTGGGTATGTTGAAACCATCCTTCTTCTTGTTGCCTATTGAAACAGGTGAGACTTTAGGTGTTAAAGTGTATGATGTGAATCATAGGAAGAAAAGGGGACCCATAGAGATAGGTGCCTGGGAAGATAATGAATGGCCTCCCCAGCGTATTATAGATTATTATGGGCCAGCCACGTGGGCAGAGGATGGTACCTTTGGTTATAGAACCCCTATTTATATGCTCAACCGCATTATAAGGTTACAGGCGGTGGTTGAGATCATTACTAACGAGACATCACAAGCGCTCAATCTTCTAGCGAAGCATAATACCAGGATGAGGACAGCAGTTTACCAAAATAGATTAGCCTTGGATTATCTTTTGGCAGTAGAGGGAGGTGTATGTGGGAAGTTTAACCTGAGCAATTGCTGTCTTCAAATAGATGACGAAGGGCAAGCAATAGCTGAGCTTACTAGCCATATGGTTAAACTAGCGCATGTGCCTACTCAGGTATGGAAAGGGTACAATCCAAGTAGTTGGTTTGGTAGCTGGTATGAGTGGTTTGGAGGGCTTAAGGCAGTGGTAGGTGGAGTCCTACTGATTTTAATGTTGTGTCTACTCCTGCCGTGTCTTATACCCTTAGTAGTTAGGTCTGTGCAAAGCCTGATAGAAAATATAGCAGAGAGGAAGGCTGCTGCACAGATAATGGCAATTTATAAATATAAGGCTCTAGATCAGGGAGAACCAATGCAGGAAGACGAGTGTTGAAGATTCACATCGTAGGATAAGTCTGGTCTGGTTCAAAGGTAACTTGTGGTGTATGCAAACCAAGGTTAAGTGATGCCTCAAGTAATTGTAAAATATCAAGAGGCATCAAAGGGGGGAATGTGGTGGAATCTCGGTAAAAATAAATTTAGTAGGCCGAGATTACCACGTGGCATGTGTACGTGCATATGCTGACGTATCGATCAGTTGGTTGCACGAGGCAAGATACGATCAGTAGTGTACGGAGCATGTGCAAGAATACAGGATGTAGTATTCCCCTCCTCCATTGTGCTGGACAAGCCATGCGGTCAAGCAGGAAGTTAATTCTTATTTGTAATGATTGGTCAAGAGAATGTGCGGGTGGAGCTTAATATGGGAGGAGTTATGTGCCTATATAGGGAGCCTGCACTATTGTTCAGGGCTCAGAACTTGCTGTATTTTTGGTGACATTAGTCCCTCTGAGTCCCGATCGGTGATCCAATAAAGAATCTCTTCCTTCCTGAAGAAACCTGTGTCCATCCCTCTGTGCTTTGCTTCCGTCAGTTTCTCCGGTATCAAAATAGGAGTCATATACAAATATATACCGTCTTTCCCTGAAAATAAGACTGGGTCTTATATTAATTTTCCCCCCGAAAAACGCACAAGGGCTTATTTTTGCGGGCGGTCTTATTTCGGGGAAAAACGTATGCTAGAAAGGAGGTCTATGTTCGTGGGGAATTCTCACGAACATAGACCAGTTCACTAGAGTATGGAATTCTGCAAATCTATGTCCGCGGAAACTTTCCCGAACATAGATTAGCTTACTCAATAATACAAGGTTTCCCAATTAATTTTTCCCTTGAAACCCTTTGACATGGTATAGCAAAACTTTGGAACCCTTGCAAAAAAATGTGTGCCATAGAGTAGCGCAGTGCAAACCTTTTAATGAGCAAAGTGTAATGTTCTCTTTTGCTGGCAAATTCTTTTTATATTTGGTTTAATTGTTGACAATTGTATTCGCATGTCTGCAGTTGCGTCAAGTCGATTTCGATACTTTGTTTTTGAGCCTTTCAATGCCCCTGACAAAGCCTTTAAATGTCTCTAACAGACAATTTTAATGTCCCTTACAGAGAATTTCAATGTCCCTACCTAACAGAGCTTTCTATGACAATAACAGAGCTTTAACTATCAGGTTGAGTGATAGAAAATGGCTGACAGCAGGGCTGGATGGCTGCTGGGAGGGTTGATGGCTGGGCGGGCTCTCTCACGGACAAGCTAAGTGGCTGGCTGACGGCATGGCGGGCTGACTGCTGGGCGGGCTTAAGATCGCGCTTCCTTACGAAATCACGGTTGCACGATCTCTGATGTTTCCGATCTTCCGGGAACAGCATGTAGCGGTTGCCATCTTGGATGTGGCGAAATGCTGCGGAAACCTTGCACCAATTGGGAAACGTTGCGCTAATATAATACCGCACATCTATGTACGGGGAAGCTTTCCTGAACATAGATTAGTTCACTCGCGAATGGAATTCTGCGAATCTATGTTCAGGGAAAATTCCATGAACATAGATTAGCGAACGACTAGGGCTTATTTTCCGGGTAGGGCTTATATTAGGAGCATCCCCCGAAAATAAGGGCTTATTTTAGGGGGATGTTTTCTTTTCGGGGAAACATGGTATATCATAGAACTTGGCATGAATACAAACAAGATTATAACATGCTTGACAGTGGCATAATAGAATACCCCTACAGGAATCAGCCTCACAAGGTCAGCTAGAAGGCCAGGGGGTATTTTTAATCAAGTCGTTCAGCTGCAAGCAGGTAAGTTTTGTTTATTTCTGCCATTTTGCCATTTTTTTGTGGGCAAGCGGAAATGACCAAATGTTTACTATAATTAAAATAATCCTGTTTATGTTTACTATGGCTGAATTCCAGAAAATTTCTCACTTTTATTATGAATATTGCAGGAAAATCACTGTTTTCTTGAAATGGTGGCAGGCCCACTCAGTAATACTATTTTTTATTTTTTTTTAAATGATCTAATTGTAGAACTAAGAGAGCATGAGTGTGTGTTGCCATGGCAACAGCCGGTGAGCTCGGTAATGGATAGCGCAGGCTGCGTCACGCTCTATTAGCACGGCCTGCAGAGCGCGTGGTGACGTAACACGCACTCAGTGCCCAGCGGTAACGAGAGACAGGCTTGGGGGAGACATGGCTGATCCGGAGCTAGACGCCATCCGCAAACAACGACTGGCGGAGCTGCAGGGCAGACATGCTGTGAGTGTCACCCCCCACCTCCCAGCCAGGCTCAGAGGGCACCACCCACCCACCACCCTGGGGGGCTGTCACAGAGTACCGGGCCCTGTATGGCTCTCCTATCCTGGCTCATATACCCCACCACCTCCCACCACCTGTCACAGAACAATAGAACCTAACTCAGCCCTACCTCCCCC